AGGAGACAGTGAGGCATGAGTGGGCACCCTGTCGTGATGAAGCTGCCCATCACCAGTTGCCCGTAGCTGCAGCCGTTTTTGTTGTATTGCATCTCTTAACCAACAAAGGACATTGAGGCAGTGCTCCTTATTAATTGTTTGGCCTGGAGGGGCGTACTCATGATGGATGACACCTTCCCAATCAAAAAACACAGTTAATATGGTCTTGTTTTTGCTGCAACTTTGGTGCACCTTCTTTGGATGTGGAGAACCAGGCAACTGCCATTGGGACAACTGGGTCTTCATTTCTGGGTTATAGACACACCCACGATTCATCTCTGCCTGTGGCCTTCTTGAGGAAATCTGGTTCATTGGTAGCAGTTTGAAAATTACTATTTTGTTCACTTATATACACTGTTACATCATTTGGCAGTTCATCAGCAACTATAGCATGATGTTCCTTCTGCTCGGATAGCAGAAGCTGTGGAATGAATTTTGCCATGACATGTTTCATGCCAAGATCCTGCGTCACAATCTTGGACACAGTAGGATTTTTAATCCCCAGATCAGCTTCTTTAAAGTTCTGGCACTGTCACTCACCGGTCTTTCTTGATTGCAGCCCATACACATTCAGCATTCTCAGGCATTTTGCTTGTTGCACATCTTCCAGAATGTGTATCACTTTCAACAGATTCTCTACCATCTTTGAAGCGTTTGTGCCACGCTTTTATTTGTGCTGCACTCATTGCATTGTCCCCGGAAGCCTTCCAAATCATCCGAATAGTTCAAGCTACAGGCAAAATTTGATGCAGATTTGTTGCTCTACTTGTTCAGTCATTTTGAATGTGACATCCACACAGTACACATGCTCACTTAATGGCATCTACTGCCCCCACTGACTAGTACAGTAAAGTCGTCATTGTTCACACACGCACATTCCAGTCCACTCTCCTTGGTTGCCAGGTTACATCAATGTCACATAAACCATTCTCGTTACATTAACAATGACTGGACTTTTTCCGGACAGACCTCATCACATTACCTAAACACTACCTATTTAAAGGAAAATTACTATTTTGTTCACTTATATACACTGTTACATCATTTGGCAGTTCATCTTTGTCAAATCAGTATTTCCCTAACTTACAAGAAACTCAGGCTGTCTGTAGACATGAAGATTTAATTATGATCTTACTCTCCCACTCTTGTGAGAAGAATGAATAACATTGGCTCTGTCATTTTTATTTATTCACCCCAAGAAATGCCCATTTGTATGTTTTTGTTTTCTGTATTTAATTTAGTTTCTGTGACCAAACAATTGTTCCAAACCCATAGTGATTCACTTAATCTTTTTTGTATGAACCAATTAGTTCTTTCTGTTATTTCTATACCATGCATGTTTGCCCTTTGGCATACCTATAATATATTAGTAGTTAGACATGATTCTACCGAAATAGGAACTATAGTTCATCTCCTATTCTTTCTCCATATAAGTTGTTAAAGCACTTGGTTGGTCATTCTACAACAAATTTAGCTAGTTTAGCTTGTATGTAATTGAGGTTTGGCAATATGTAGTTTAAAGTTTCTTCTAGAAACCAGTTTGGGATTCTGTTTTGTTAGTAGTACATTAATTTCTTACTCCTATTTTAAAAAGCTTTTAAAGTTAGAAGAAAAAAGAGTTATTTAGAGAAGAGAAAGCAGATAGTGAATCTTGGGAGAGGAAGGAATGATTCACAAATGAGGAACTGAGGTTGAAGTGTTCAGGGACTGAGAGCAAAGTTCTGCTTATATGTCCAAGATGAATGGATTGCGACATTGCTGATCCATTCTGCTTGGCTGTCAGAACAGTTTATATGAATAACTTAGTGTCAATTTGGATCCAGTAGTCTTAGGTGGTAGGTTTAGCTACAACTTGTCTTACCTGCCAGTATATTTGTGGTTATAAAAGTGTGGAATGTAGGGCAAGCTTACTCATGGAGAAGTGTGTGTGCGTATATGCAATTTCCAGTTTTCTTCAGTAATTACTGGAAAAATCAGTGGTAATCAAATCTACAATGTTCCAGACCTATGATATTTCTTATGGAGACTTCTGTTAACTGCCTTGTCATAGAAAGGTGAGGTAATTAAAAAATACCCATGAGCCTTGGTTAGATTTGTCCCATGTCATTGGTATCCTGAGTGTGCTTATGAAGGATTATGGTTTGAGTCCATGCAGTTTTTTAATGAGTATTCTGGATAATTATTTGTAGTATACCAGTGTGTACCAGATTAGCCTTTTGTGAAACTGTCATTAACATCTTTACCAATGGTTGGGAGCCAAAAGATATATCAGAATTCTGTTACTGTAACAGCAGTGTGTTAAATATACTTCTTAACTTATTAGGAAAATGATTGTCTTCGAAGAATAAAAGGGCCTGTTTCCAAACAGTAACATTTTTGGCATTTAGCAGACCCATGGGCCTAAGAGATACTATCTTCAAAATGAGGGGATTGGGACTGGGATAGCCTTTAACATCCTTTTCATTTCAATGATACATTGAAATGTGGGGTTGGAATTTTGTGATTGTATTTTTCCTTTTGAAAAAGGCTTTCCCTTATGCTACTGAGAATCTCATGAAAGAGATTATATTAGTACTTTCTGCTGCTCCCCCATTGCTTCCAAGGCCATTGGTTTTCTCTTCTCACTCCCTTGGTAATGCTGCCTTTTTCTTTTTTTCCCAATGCTCTTCTGTCTCAGGCAGCCTGGGTTCCCCAGCAAACCTATGCGGAGATGGAAGGAAGTGTGCAGGAAATATACTGGAAAGTTCTCTTGCGACCTGTCCCTGTGGAAGGAAGGGAAGGAAGAAACCCGTATGGGCAGAGGGGAAGTTAGGCTGTGGTGCAGTCTTGCGGAGGTCTGACCCCGTGTGGAGCTCTGAAGCTGAAATGGCTTTTCACCATTGTCCTAGTTGGGGAGAGGGCGCAAGTCTTTGTATTCCCCATGTCCACCCATCTTCGGATGTGGGCTGCTGTGGGAAGGGAGCATGAGCTTGTGTGAGCAGACTCTTCGGCCAAGACCATTCTCAAGAGAGTTAATAGCTGAAGGCTGGCTGCTAGCAGGACTATAGCAACTGGGGAATAAAATCCTTCAGTCCTGAAACGGGGATAGTGGTGGTACATTACCGCCTCCACTCCATATTTTTTGCCCGGGTGCAGGAGATGGTTCAGAATGGTCAGGAGGAAGGGTCCGAAATTCCAGGAATGGGGATTTGCAGGGCATGCTGGTGAGGAACTTGAGAGATGGTAGAGAAAAGTTGGTGTGCAATACGTTCTGAAAGATACTTGAGTTCTGACATTGCTGGTTGCTTTCCTTAAAAGTTTTAAAATTTCTGCCTAGAGTGATGCTGTTCCCTTATTCAGTTACACAAACCTGATGAAAATTCTCAGTGTTCTTTGTAGAGCAGTGTGCATGTGCTTATAGAAATTCTGTTTGTTTTTTGTAAAACCTACTTATTTTTTCAGTTTCCTATTCTTTTTTTAAAAACGATTTTATTTATTTTTAGAGAGGAGGGAGGGGAGGAAGAGAAAGAAAGGGAGAGAAACATCTATGTGAGAAACATCGATTGGTTGCCTCTCTCTTTCTTTTAAAGACTTTATTTATTTATTTTTAAAGAGAGGGAAAGAAACAACACATTGATCAGTTGCCCCTCCCACGCCCCCAACCTCGGATCTGGCCGCAACCCAGGCATGTGCCCTGACTGGGAATCAAACCATCAACCTTTTGGTCCACAGGCCTGAGCTTAGTCTCCTGAGCCACACCATCCTGGGCGATTGGTTGGCTCTTGCATATGCCCCAACCGGGGACTGAACTCACAACCCAGGCATGTGCCCTGACCAGGAATTTTACCAGTTACTTTTTGCTTTGTATGACGACGCCCAACCAACTGAGTCACACTGGTCAGAGCTCAGTTTCCTATTCTTTATAGGTTTCTTTTCCTTCCTCCATCTCCTTAATAGTTATGCTTTTTTTTTGTTTGTTTTTAATGCTTAATCACAGCAAATCATCTCCTCACATATTTTGTGATTCCTGAATTATAAACTCATCTTCAAGGGGGCTGTTCTTTGTTTTGGTTTTGGTTTGGTTAAGTTTTTCTAGCTTGTAGAAATCCCATGTGGCCTTGTTTATGGAGTGTTACTTTAAAATGGTTTTATGTTTGTTTATTCCAGATAGTCCAAGGATATCATTAGCCCAGGCCCTAATTTATTTTAATTTCCTAGCTTGGAGATTCTTGTACAAATAACATTCAAACCTCAAAACCCTTGTGACACAGGCTTAGGGTTTTAATTTCTGGATGTAGCATTTCCCCCTGCCCTCTCTCATCCAGATTCTCAGAGACAAGCTCCCTTGACGTCTTTCTAAGACAATGGTGGAGTTGTTCTGTCCCCCTCACCATTTTTAAACTGTGATTACAGCCCTTTGAAGCCAGCTCCGGTTTTGTGGAAGGATCTCAGCACCATGTTTATACCTTGTGCCCTTAAGGCCTCCTCTGGCCCTGCATGGGCATCAGCAGGGCTGCTGCATAGAGCTGTGCACGGTGTATCCTGTGTTGAAGAAGAGCGGGGCTGGAAATCTAGCTGTCCTGAGAGAGCTCTTTATTCTGCTCACTTCTCCTTGAGAGGGCATCTCCTTACCAATTTCAATTAGCAGTAAGCGCTAAAGAGCCTCCGGTGATCATTCCTGGCAGCCACAGTTGGCAGTATTTGGTTTTGTGCTTACCACTCTGGCCATTGGTTCTAGCTTTGGATTGGCACCAGGGGGTTTTCTTTATAGTAAGTAAAACTATTTAATTTTTACTTATTGATTTTATTGAGAGACAGTGTGTGATTTTGTTGTTCCACTTATATATGCATTCAGTGGTTGCTTCTTGTATGGGCCTGGACCGGAGATTGAATTTCCAACCTTGATGTATCAGGACGACGCTCTAACCAACTGAGCTACCCAGCCAGTTCTGTATTTAATTTTTAAATGTTGTTACACTCTTTTTCATCTTTTCTGTTTATAGGAGAAAGTCTTCATTAGCTTAGTTGACCATATTGCTATATCTGAAATTCCCACAAGTATTAACCTCTAATCCTCAGATTCTGCCTCTTTAAAATGGGAGTAATAATAGTGTCTATCTTTAAAGTGTTAGTTTAGAGCACATAGTAAGTTCTTAATCAGTGTTAGCCATCATTTTTGCACCATTTAAAGCTTTAATTTACCACTTTAGGGAAGAGTTGGAAATGTAGTAGAGGCTGTGTTTACTTACTTAACAAGAAGAGGAAGTCTTAGTTAACTCCCCAGAGAAACCAAAGGAGAAACTTTGTTCAGCCTAGTGTGTTGCTGAAACTGAAGCTTCCAGCCCCACCCTTTCTGTTGATACACCAAAGGTCACTTGGCACCAAGAGTGAACTGAGAGAATGTCCTCTCAGTATTGCCCTGGAGGATTGCTTAGAGGAGTTTTGCCTGGACTGTGGGTAGGTAAGTTTGAGTTTGTGGAATATTTTCTTTGCTAAGGAGGGCTCTCAGAGGCATAATTTTTATAGAGGATATTTGTAGACCTTGAAACACATAGTAGTAATAGTAAGCTCTTTAAAAATCTTTTAAATTCCCATTTGATATTCCAAGTGGATTCTGAGTTTGGGAAAATTGGTACCTCAGGTTACACAGGGTCCTGCCTCTTGCCTCCTGGCTTCTTGTGTATGGAGATGGGGATTTAAAGGATTTCCTTCCCTTAGGTCATAGTGTTTAAGAGAATAATTTTCCCCAAAAAATTATAGCTAAGAAGAAATCTGTTGACTGTTAATAGTTGGGAAAGTACAGACATACCATACTTTCATAACATTATTTTTAAATTAGTATGGTGTGCAAAATACTGTGATTATCCTATAAATATTAACTGCTTTGGATTGTTTATATAATGTTAGTTGTACTATGAAAATTTGCTTATTAACCAAGTTCAGCCTTCTTAGGTTGTTATTGGCTTTGAGTCCACAGACTTAACACTGCCAAATTTCTGTGTAAACATTTTCTTGGACCTAAAATGTAGTGAATATGTGTATTTAAAGTTTGTTTTCTTTTAAACCCATGTATATTAATGGAACTTGTAAACGTTAAATAGTCAATTAATGGGGGTTTTTAAAGAACAGCTCTTTCAAAAAATCCAATTCTATAATTATGATCTTTTAAATATAAAATTTGACCTTAGTGACAAATATATATGATTTTTAATATAGAGAGATCTATTTTTGTAGCTGTTATTGATTTATTTGTTATATTAAGTTTAATTCAGGAAGAGCCTTTTTGTTATTGTTCTGTTGTTAGGAATTGGGTACAAGACTAAGTTTTAGTACTTAGAAACAAACAAGGGCTAATAATATTGTATCACAGTATACTAGATAAAGAACAAAAGTAAATAACTGGTTATATCACTGTTTTGATGCTGGGAAGTATACTGCATTCTTGAGTTCAGGTGCCATGGTTATGACTGTATTGCTTCTTGAAATACATTCTTGAAAATGTTGATTTCTTTCTGGTATGTCTCCTTATTTCTACACAAGGAGAATTATCAGTGTACACAAATTATCACTACCCATGCTGACATCAAATGCAGCTTTCTGGAAGCATAAATGGGTGAGGTGGCTTGAGATGTTGTTGCAGCAAAGCTTTGCGCAACTTTACAGGCCAAATTTAAAGGCAAATGTTAGTATCTTGTTGAGTATAAATTTCATATATGCTCTGGAATGGCTTATCAAATATTTTGCTTTTGACCCACCTTATTGTCACCTAAAGGAGGCTATCCCTGCACCTACTTTACCTGGAGTGCTTTAAAAGAGGTTTATGTTTTTCAGCAGCTAGACTTGGAAACAGTTTATTCAGTTCAAGTAAATTGCATGTAAGAAGAAATGACTATGGAGAGGATAAGATGTTAGACTCATATTCTCTATAAATAATTCCTCAATAAAGTAGAGAAGTAGAGAAGTTTCCTTTTTAGTTTATTTTTCAATGAAATCATGTCATTGATTCATCAAGGTAGGTATGAAGTTTACTTAGGGGAGCTTCTGGGGTTTAAGGAGACAGAAATCAGCTCATTATACTTTGACTTTTATTGTTGTTTCTATGTATTAGGTAGAGCTGCTTTGACTCTGTATCTTGGTTGTGTGACCTAATGTAGTAGGTGTCCTGTAGGGCCTAGAGACACAGCCTCCCCTATCACCACACAAGCTGGGTACTTGAGGTGCGCCCTTTGTGTGGGCTGAGTACACCCTCCTCTTGTAGTTGGGCCTTGGTTGCTGCTGGCAGATCAATGGGAGGGATTTACCCAGGCCAGTCAACTGCAAAGACTGGCTGTGACCACTAACGACCAACCTCTGCCCTCTGTGGAGGATCAGCTGTCCAAGGGCAGGGCGGTGGTGCTCTGACGTGGTTTGTAGCTGTCTACCAGGTGAGTTGGCCCTGGGGTTTCTGGGTGGTACAGGCTAAGGTCAACCTCTACCTTTGTCTTGCCCAGGGCTGCCCTGCTTGAGCTGTAAAGCAATCTGAGATGGCTGCTACTTGTGCTGGCCTTGAAGATTCCCAGGGGAAGCCAAGTTGTGACTCTAATCTGGCTGCCACTAGGGCTGACCAAAGCCAGAGGCAGCTGTTTGAGAGGTTTTAGGAACTGAGGCCAGCCATTCTTATGGAAAAGCAGCTTGGGTAGGCCAGTAAGTTGGGTGGGGTAGTGTCTGGGGATCTCCAGGGCAGGTGACACAGTGTTAGCCAGGTTGATAGAATCTCAGATATGGCACCAGCCTACCAGCTCTGAGGGGAAGGGTTCTGCCAAGGGACAATGGCCTCTGCATGCCCCAATGCCAGACACTTCAGTCTCCCTGTACGCCATGGTGCCCTTCAAACTGCCACCCCAGTGCTGGAGCTCAGAGGGAGCGAGTCTGAGTAGGTGAGTCTATGTGTGTGTTCCCCAGGAGGAACTGCTTGGGGCGGTGGTAGCCTCCTACATCAACTCAATCCCTGCTGGTTTTTGCAGCCAGGAGTTGCAGGGACTTACCTTCCTGGAACTGGAATCCTGGGCTGGGGGGCCTGGCGTGGGTCTGGGACTCCACGCTCCTGAGCTATCCCTCCCGAATTTTTATCCACGTAGGTATGGGTCCAGCCTGTTCAGCATCCATGCCTCTCTGACCAGTCTGGATGGATGTGTTTTCTTCAATTCCATAGTTGTCAGACTTCCACTCAACTCAATTTCTAACTATCCTGAGTGATGGCTGTTCTATATTTTCTCTGTAATTTTGATGTGCTGGTGCGAAGAGGCAAGCCTTGTCTGCCTACATTGCCATTTTGACCGAAAGCCTCTAGTCTTTTAAATAATAGTTTGGCTGAATTGCATAAAAATTTTATGCTGATGATATAATAAAATGGATTATCATGTAGTCTTTTGATCATTTACCTTATAAGATAGTTCTAATATAATTTAAAAAGTATTTTAAATTTTATTATGATAGAGTTAGTTTTGTGTATGTGTTTTTAATTGTTTAATTTGCTATTTAAGCACATAAAATGGACTTTTCAGCTATAAGAAAAATTATACTTTTTATTTTAGTTAAAAGTTGTGGCATTTGTATGCAGAATCTTGTGTATAGAATATATTAACTATATTTAGGATTTGATTAGAAGAAACATGATAGTTTTAATCCTTAATATATTTTTTAAGAATTTTAAAGCAATTTATGAAATAATGTTCTCTGTACTTTGTAATGTAAAATCTGAGCTGAATTGTTATGTCTCTTTCTTAAGCTTGTTGTAGATCTCACATGAACATTTGTCCAAAAAGGCTTTGCTTTTAGGAACATTAGTATACAGTTTCTTGAGTATTAAAAATACATTCTGTTAGTTATTTATGCAATTCAGAACCATTATACTTAATTTTACTAATTATATTGTCTTAATGGTCAGAATTAAATATCTGACTTATTGTTACTACTAGGTTGCATTGCAGCCTTTGTTTTCCCTCACTATTTGTAAGAAAAACACTGTTTCCTCATTTGCAGGTAATTTTTCTTTATTCCACTGTTTTATACAATTTGCCAGACCAAATGACACAGTTAGTATCCATTCAGTAGAGCCCATGAATATCAATCTTGGACACAAAGCCTGGGATTGTAGTTGGAAAAAGGCCTCCTCCTTGCCTCTCCTTCCAAAGACTCTGAATGTAGTCTCTCAAATTTATTCAAAGCCTGGATTTGTGAATGCCGATGGGCTCCCTTCTGCCCATTCATAACTATGTTGCGCTCTTCTTGATAAAAATTGTCAGCAGCTTTCCCATTTCCTTTCATATAAAACTTGAAGTCTGGTATGTAACTTATCATTTGTGGACACGTAGCTTAATTTATGGCCTAAGCTGCTTGATCTTAGCGCTTTACACCTCCCGTTTCCTGCCTTTCTCTGTACTCATACCACAATTAGGAAGTCCCTGTCTAACATCCAGAATTTAACTCATCCTTAAGATCTGCCATTCACCCTCATTAAATTTCTTCTGGTCCTCTATTTCAACATTGAAAGTAATCTATTATGTACCTTTTTGCATTTTCTTAAGGTACTTCCTATTCTGTCTTGTCTTAGTGTTATTTTTTACATGTGTTATAATATTTTACACCTCCTATAAAACGTTGAGTTTAAATGATCCACTGAGTTAAGCCTGTGTCTCTTTTGATGGGTTGACTGTGGTTTCATCTTGTATCTCCCATGTTGCTTTGTATTCAGTAGGTGCTCATTGTAAATATTGGGTGACTGAATAAATGGAATGACGTGATTGTGAGTTCTTGACCTCCAGACATTTCACTGCTCTGTTGGAATGGACCTTTAGGGACACAGAAGCAACTGGAGATCTAATCAAGTACGGCATGGCTGTCTGAATCAGAGCTGTTCTCAGCAGTGAAAGCTGAAGAAACAGTCAAAATGTCCTTAACAAATCTTTTAGATTATGTTTAGTGGCTTAATACTGACAAGGAAAGAATGACTTTTTCTAGGTAAAGGCTTCAGGCTGAATAGGCAGAGTAACACAGGCTTTGTAAATAGTGACTATAGTTCTGAATCAGAACATTTTTCAAAAGTTTATAGTTAGGGAATAAATACTGCCCATTCTGCTATAATGCTTGTTTTGAAAATGAGGATTTATTCCTGCATTATTGATATTAGGGAATAATTTGAGTGTATTGTAAATCTTACATTTATATGTGATTTTATCTGAGTAATAGTAAGTGAACACAGAAAACTCCACCTAGCTGAACCAGGCCACATGGGAATACACAAAATGTACATGCACACACCTCAGGTATCTTCCTGCTACCTCCCTTCACTGCATATTATAAGTCGCAACCACCCATATCTTATTTTATAATTTTCCCTTCAATTTCAGATATTTCTTCTTCCACCATTTCACAATAACTCAAAAGCAGCAACCCTTTGGACAGCCAATCCCACAAGC